TCAAGGTGGTTTCTATCCTGCCATGTTATTCAATGAATGTTATTGATGTAGGCGCACATGGCCTTGGCCAATGGCGGGCTTGCACGTGTTTGACGGCGGCGCTCAGAGCGGGTCCAATCCGGGTGCATGCGGAGTAGAGGTCAGCGTGCAATCTGGAATCAATGGCACGGCCGCACTTAGTGATCTCGGATGACCATGCCCCTACATATGGACCGCATCCTAACTGTCCGAACCCACCTACCTCCAACCGGCTTCAAATATAAATAAGGGGCAATCCTTTCAAGGTAAGCATCTACAATCAAGAACTTTGATTTAAGAACTCGCAACTCCCTTTGTGGCTTTGTCAGAGTGTTTACACCTCATGCCTTGTCCACCTTGCGTTGCACCCATACTAACTTGACCATCAGAGTTTCCACCTCGGGTACCAATCCGTGGCCTATGACATTCTCCCTCCTTTTCTCCTCATAGTTGCAGGACCGGCCTACCAACCCTCGACCACTCCAGGCCTCAGATTACTCAACCACGCCTCGGCTCATAAGCGAATTGATAGTATTGCCCTCGGCCCATTCTAACCGGCAACAGATACCAATGTTCTTTTTTTCTAAAAAAGTGAGGAAATTTTAGAATTAGGGGCTATTTGATAACTCGTTGAAGTTGTTACTTGATTAATAGACTTATTGCTTTTATCTTTCAATGGATAAAATAATTAAGTAAAACAAAATTAATCAATGGTATAGTAATCCACCAATGACTAGGGGTGCTCACGGTGGGTCTTTTTTGTAATCAAACCGGTACTATCGGTTTTTGGAAAACCAGTAACTAAAACTGAACCACAACCAATCAGTTAACTGGTCAGCTGGTTTGGTTCGTTGGTTTTTCAAATTTTTAATTTTTATAATATATTATAAAAATATATAATAAAAAATTTAAATATATACAAAATATTATATTTTAAGTAATAAATAATATATTATATATTATAAATATATATATTTATTTATATATATATATAATGCATATTTATTAAATTATAATATAAAAAATATATACAATATATATAAAATATATAAAAATATATGTATATCGGTCGATTTGATTAATTGCCAATTTTCTATATCAATTAATCGAAATCGTACTGATATCTTTGATTTTTTTTAAATATCGAACCAAAACCGAATCGATCAGTTCGATTAACCGATTTTCGATTCAGTTTTGATCAATTTTTTCGATACATTCAGTTTTTTGGTTTTTTGTCTCACCCCTACGAATGACTCAACTTCAGTTTCATCTATTAAGGAGCCCACAACCTGTAAAAAGTTTATTCATTAAAAGACAAAAATAATAAGCATTTTAGTTCAGCCACTTCAGTCATATACCAATAACTACAATGCTAGAAGGATATGATATCACATAACTTTGATCAATCAGAAACCTCCTTCCCCATGAATTTTGATAAATATCAGCGGATATAGTTAGCACTTTTATGATACAGGCAGGTTGATAGGTTATCAGCTTTTAAGATATCACGCCTTTCTGATGTGATAGTCGGACTCTCTTTTCGTTGTATTTTACAAACAGTGAGGACGGATAAATCGGTTGTTCTGCTTCTAACACTTGGCAACATGGAAGGAGTCAAATTTATGATTTTGCTTTCTCAAACAAAAATAATTGCCATGTCAGCAAAATCAATTTATTTTTTTGCCGATGTGGCAATTGTAATTTTAAATAGAAGTATTTGCATATTTTGAGTATGAGAAGAAGTTCCCACACATTAGGTAGGTATAACTAACATGAACAAGAGAACATGCCATGTGACCATATAGATGAACCACGTGGGCTGGTCGATCGCTTAAACTACTCTTTCCTGGACTTGTGGGATGCTGGGAAGAAACCATGGTTTGTGCTTCATGGAAGGAGCTGAGGAGTGTCGTTACCAGCAAGCATCCAATTATGGGCTCGCACTACAAATGTTGTTCTGCTATAATAAAGGTAAGAAGAACAGCAAAGAACAGATAAGAGGGAAAATGAGCAAGGGGAAAGGGAATCCCAAACTATCCAAATGGACCTCCGCCATTTCAACCCCACTGAAGAAAGGCTGTTTCTATATTGGTGTACTGGGCCCAGTCGCCACAGATAGAGCTGTCAATGGGTCAGATCAGGGTGGGCCCAGTCCTGAACAACTGATAAGACGACTATGCTGTAAATGTAGACCCAACCCCAAACAGACCCCATTGGTTCTATAAAACAAGACCCAGCACCAAATCCATTATTAATCAGGTGTGGCCCAATTAGACCCATTAAAGTTGCCTTCATCACCTGTTTGAAATTTCAATTCTGATAGTCTTCTTTTGATTATAATTATGTTATACACAGTCCAAATTTATTCTTTTAAACATAAAATATAACAAAAATTACAAGAAAAACCTAGAGAAACTATCAAACAATATTTGTGATAAGTGATGGCCATTTGAAACAGTTTCAGGCTTTCAGCTTAAAAGTCCAGACCACAAGGATCTTATGACTTTTCTAAAGGTTGTCACTGTACTCAACACATGACACACGTTGTTAAAGGAAAAAGGAGCTAGGTTAAAGGGGACTGACTTCTTTTGATACCAATGAACAGCGTATAAAGAACTGTAATCTTCACTTAACATCTTTTTCTCCATATCACTGGAAAGCTGATTGCATTTGCATAGACTGAAGCCTCATTTGCATGCTCAGCCAAAACTCTCCAACAGTCTATTTCAGACACGTGGGCCTGTTAAACCAGATTGAAGGCCTCTCTCCGGCTCTGCTAATGATCAATCCTTATTTTTCCCATTTATGTCAACATTGGGGTCTCTTCGATTCCCATTGATTTGATGGAGAAGACTTGTCCTCGGAAAAGTAGGGTTGCATAATCAGGAGAAGCAGCTGTACAGCATTGAATCTGAATCAGAATCAGAATCAATCCATGCTTCTGCAGAAGATCCTTCTAGAAAGGGAAGGGGGGGGNGGGGGGTATAAAAGAATGTCCGGGTGAGATGATGAACTTCATACCGGATCTGGGTGAGTAGACAAGAGGATTAGGAGAAACAGGCTAAACTTGCTTTTAGTTAGTTCAGATGGTTGCTTGGTTGTAGATGCAAGTTTATCAACAAAGATCATAGAGCTGTTGGCTTGTTTTCTGATATTGGATTCGGTGCTCTCGAGATTTGCATAGTTAATATTTGCCGTGCATTGGGAATATTTTTTTTTTATAGGAAGATATTTCCAATACAAATCTGCAAGACTATGAATGCTATGAGCATGATCTTGTGAGGATCAAATCCGATTTTTTGTTTTCTTGGCCCAATTTCTAGAACAAAGATATAAGAATCAGATCGAATCCAGAATTTTAGCATATTTTGTTGAATTTTAACATTATGAGCTTATAGAAAAAGATATAAATAATTTATTTTCGTCAATAAAATGTTATAGGAAAAATGGTGACAATAATTGGATTTTTTTTTTTTTTTTTTATGAGACAAGAAGAGGGGCTACAACAGCGCAGGCCCACAGGGGTAACACGACCCAGAAATCCAAACAGATAATTATATTAGAAGGTTGAGTTGGTACATTGCAACTTGGGTGACAAAGGTTCAAATCTCCCAAACAGTTTCTCTGTGTATCAGCAAGAGTAAAAACGTTCATTGAATGTATTTTGGATCTGCTACTCACAAGATACTGTAGCCTACATATAACAGTGTAACCCCCATCAATGACAATATAAGCATGAAATATGTTTGAAAAGTGTACCATGCAATACTATCTTGATAAGGCGAATTCCTATTGGGGATCCAACAATTTATCCTGATAACAGTTCACCAGAAAACCTTGCGTTTGGTGGTGGTCTGTGTTGCTTTGAAAGTCCAAAGTAAGGTTCAAATTGTTTCCAATGGTCACCAAAATGCCAGTTTTTTGGATTTTGGAACTTTTTATATTTTGGATTATAAAAAACAAGTATTTTAATCCTCTCTAAAAATATGAAACTAAAAAGTTAAAAGAAATTAATGTATTGGGCCTAATGGCATATCGGGTGTATCAATACTTTCAATTAAACTTGCCAAAAATAAAATAAATAAACTGAGAGAACGAGCCAACACAACCCAAAAAGTAGGTTAAGGTCCCCTATGAAGAGACCCAAACCAAAAGTGGGCGTAACCCAACCCGACCCCAAAACAATTCGGGTTGGGTCGTGGATCACCTATTATCATACCAGCATTTTCAAAGTCGATGTAGATTCAAACAGTTGAACGTTTCAAACCATTTGAACCACCCATTAACTTGATCAAAAAATGAGATGATATGGACGGTTGAACCATTGACCCCTATGATTCATGGGCTAACCCTATTCTAAATATTCAATGTTCGAGTCTCAACGTGAGCCCCATTGAAATTTTGACAAAAATCAAACCCGAGCCCAGCTTATGAACACGTCTAATTGCCAAATCTAATTTAAACCATGGTCCAAAGAATAATGAATTAAATAATCATGGCACACTACAATGAGAGGGAAAGACAAAGTAAAGGCTAGAAAAGAGTAATATAAACTCATAAATGGATTAAGGAGGTATTTGGTAAATATAAATTTGCATAGACTTCAAATATTGTGAAAACATTTTGAATTGATAAATACAAATTAAATTAAATAGTTAAAGAAAACGCAAAACCACCGTAATCGAAAGAAGTACTAATGGTAGTGCAAATACATAGAGTGCAAAACCTTATATTATACTCATTGATTATTATGTTTTCCAAGCTTTTAATGATTTTGTTGGATCCTTTAATGTAATTATTTGATTATCAAAATGTGTGAATCACGTTCTCTCTTCACTATCATCTGTGAGCTCACACATTTGAAGCTCCTGTGTGCTACAGTAAAAAGAAAAATCACTTTTTTCCTCTCTCTCGGTGATAACTGATAAGTCTTATCTGACTCGGTCCATGAATCTGTTTAGTTGCATGTGTTTCCAAAAACGTTCATGCATCAGCAGCATCCCACTGAGTCCTACAAAGTAATAGAAAACACGCTTGCACATGATAATAATGTTTACGAAGCACAGTAACCATAGACACGGAATCAGCACCAACCCCAAGTTAGAAATCCCCCACAACGTGTACACATAAAAGCAGTTGGAGATTTTCCCCCCTCCTTCCTATTTATCACAAGGCAGACTCAGAACCGCTGCAACATCAAAAAATTAATTATTATGTTTTTAATGACAATTTAAGGTTGTGATGGAATCACCCAATTTCATTTAATAAAAAAAATTGGGTCGAATTATACAATTTGATGTTTTCTTTTCCCAGTAATCTTCGTGGATTTTTCCAAACCACTCAGCATGTACAATTTTGCTTCTCCTGTTCTCAGTCATCAAGGATTCTTCTTTGGGAGAAGTACCAATCAGCCCAGATCAGAATTTACAAGGCCCAAAGTACAGGGGGAATGCATCCTGACCGTGCAGGATTAAGGGGAGAGGGCCAGTTGTAGGGGAGGGGGGGACTGGAATTCAGAATTCTGCAATTCTGCATCGTGTGTTTCCGTACCTTTCCCCTCTTCTTTCCTCTGTTCTCCGTCTCTTTGTCATCGGTCTAAATATTTACAGTCAACTGCTGCCATCTCCTCATCTCCTGGATTAAATAACAAGGAAGAACTTAATTCCCTTTCTGTTGCAGACGAAGTACCAATTCCTCCAGAGCTTCAATCATCCAATCATGCGGGCAGGATTTTTTGGCTTCATCCACAGTCATCTGAACAGAACATTTCAACCCAAAATCAGTACTTCATTCATTTTGTTTGTTTCAAGCATCGAAATATCAAACACATTCCGTTGTACATACCCATTTTCTTTGGCGTACATTCTTCTCAGGCCAGTTGTCTAGTAGCTTCTCGACAAGCAAAGGATACATATATCCCTCATAATCTGAACCAAACCTCTTGCTCTTAAATAACCATCTACCCAATCCTGTCTGCAACAAACGAAAAAAAGAGATTAGTTTTGCTTGTCCAGGAAAGCCAGGGATTTGCCAATGCCGAGAACATGATCAAACAGTAACCATGTCCAGTGGATACTAACCTTAATAGTGCCTGTCACACCGGCTTCCTCATATGTCTCGCGCTCAGCCGCTTGTACGATTGATTCATCTTGTTCCCAACCTCCCTGTTTAGCACAAAATCAATTGCACCATGTTAATGCAAGATTAAGATACAACCCATCACTCGCTTCAGACAGTAGAACAAACCCTTCAATTGTCTCAAATTTAGGGGTGTCAGTACCTTTGGAAACAGCATTATATGTCTCTTTTTCTGTGAGCTGATCATGAGAACCTCCAAATCGTTGATATCGGCATCATTGGAAGGATTATTGCATCTATATGGAATGCATCTGAACATAATTAAAAATGGAAATTACATTAATAATCATCTTTAAATAAGTTCAAATAAAAAAAAAAACAAGATATAGAATAATAGGTGAAGGGGGCAAAAATTTGTCCAATTTTGACAAATTCAGAAGTAAAGGTCGAAAACCTCGCAGCGGAGCACGAGATTCGTCCCTTGAAGCAGAGTAAGACCCATCAAGAAGGCATCAATAAAATCAAGAAACAGCGACTCACCCAACGACTTGGCGACGGCCGACCTCATCATAGCGCTGCAAATCTCTTCCGGTACGAGAAACCAAAACGTCCACAACAGCCATTTTTTATTCTCGAAGAAAGAATAAAACCTTACCCTTTCCCTTTCCTCTCTACTCGGAGACTTGAAGGAAAACCTCAACTCAACCCCTTCTCGTTTCAAACTTCAATAAATGAAAAAAGCTTGCTATCTGAAACTGAACAACAGTAATCCTCTGTCTCTCGCTTATCTGATCTGGGTTATGCTTCGCTTTTTCTATTCTTGAAGAAAGACGCCTCCAGATATCGGAGCTAAAGTGCGAAACCAGAGAAGTGAACCGCAATCAACTGCCGAGGATAAGATACAAAGCGCACCCACCACCCCCTATAAGTAGCCATGATTGAAATGAAAAAAATATATAAAAAAGATAAGAAAAGAAAGCCGTGTAGGCTCTCACAAGTCACAAACCACTCGGTTCGTTCTACTGACGCGTTGGCGATTAATGTCGAAATGTTAGAGGATGTGAACCGAGTGGTGGCATGTTAGCTGCGTAGTCCCAGAAAAGTTGATGTGCCATGTGTGTGAGTTTTGTGTTAAGTACCAATACAAAATGTCCCCGTGTATGATACTGGGTCCCACGAAGTTGGGCACTGAGGCTTCTCACTTCGTCCTTCCTATACTAGTGGGATTCTTGTAGTTGATGTTGATTGGGTAGTCATAAATATATTTTGCCACATCGGATGCTCTGTCAGCAAATAAATATAAAAGAGAAAGAGTGCATCTTTATATGGTGATTGACATGGGTTTGCCGGACGGATGGCCTTGATGCTTTGTCTGTGTTTCGTTATGATTTGATGTGATAGATTTTGATGGAAACACAATACTGTTGAGTAGGATTTGTGCTTTTAAAGGGCCAAAGCTTGTACCCCAATTTTAGAGCTCGATGGCCAACTTAGGGGTGGTTCAGGTGGTACTTAGCTGGTTTGTTTCAGCGGAGAGATACGGATTGGATTTTTGCTACCACCGACTTTGGAGGTAAGTTATTACTATCTAACATCAAAATAAATAAATACTGCAGTTTTATGGGAAAGCTTATTTTTGGGTTTAAGTAATTCTATATTTTTTTTGTAGGGGTGCACCTTGAGTGAACCCAACCGAGCCCAGACCGATTCAACTCAAACATGGGTTGGGTTTTTAATTTTGGTCCTCGGACTAAGTTAAGGCCCCAGACTTTGGGAATTTTATTTTTCGGATTGGACTTGGGTTTCGGTTTTGGCCTTAGCCATTAAGCAGCTCAAACATGAACCAAGCCTGCCTCAACCTTGTCCCAACCTAAGTCTGACCTAACTATATATCTTGACACATACATATTTGCATAAATGCATATATACATGTATAATTTTAAAATAGATTCGTTGATCAATTTAAGCTCGGTCTGGACTTGAGCCTAATTCGAATGCATTAAATTATGATATGGGCTGGACTCAAGTCGGAAAGGTTGGGCTTGATTTTGGATTCAATTCTAGCCTGGATCTTAGACCCAAATCTTAGGATTGGACCTGGATTGACCATAAACTCAATCTAACCTACCCAATTTGCACCTCTAACTTTTGGCTTTTTAGAATTTTACCAAATGGGATTTTACGACTTTTCTAAACTTCTTGGTTCATATAACACCAAAAACCACTTCCAAAAAATCACTCCCAAACAGGCAATTAGGCTTCATGGCCATTTGGAAGGGCTTTCATCTAATGGCTCCTTAGTTTTGTAAGGTAGGGCCCGAATATGCTATATGTCGTAGAAAAAACAAAAAGCCCGAATTTGCTATATTTGGTAGAAAAAACAAAAATCTTCTGAGTATACTTATTTTAGTTACTTCTTGAAAACAACTAAAGGAAAGCATATCAACATCTTGAATTCGGATTCAGATCCAAATTCGGATTAAAAACTCTAATTCGGATGGATTCCCCACATGTACATCCCCGTGTATTTGGCGCGCTTTACGGGGAGCCCATCCCAACTCCAATCTCTCACCTAAAAACAAGAAAGCAGCTCAATCAGAGCAATTTGTTTATTATGTTTTGGAGCTTAAAAGCAATTTGACTTTTGATTATTTTGTTTTGAGAAGTAATTCTTACCAAAAGCTCATTTTGTTTTCACATTTAAACTCCAAAAGTAAGAAATTATCCAAATGGAGCTTAAATTAGAGCATTTGTATTCTTTAGTTTTTTTTTTTTTTTTATTCGGCAAACAATAAGTTAGTGTCAAAGGGTTTTGAAATGTCGTAGGGTGACTGGAGCTGTATATGATCTAATAAATTCAATTGATAATCCTTATCTCCACTACTTGAATTTAACTACACGAAATCCCATTTGGGAAAAGTAGAATTCCTCAAGGCTCAAGAGTTTTATTATCCATTAATTTATGAATTCATGAAGGTATCAACTGAGCCGTCTCTACCTGGTTGTACCGTAGACTTTGAGATCAATTCCTGCCTTCACTCAAATACTCAAAAAATAAAAAATCATGTCTAATAAGTGAAGTGATTTTAATACTTTATAATAAAACCATTTTAGTCTCTCTCTGCTTTTTACATTTTCCACATATGTTGAGTATTTCTTTCATAGAGTTATCCACAAGATTTGTAAATGGCTTAGATCACCAAGCAATCTGGCCCATCTTTAGAAAATTCAGACCCATCATAAAATGATTTTGTGTGGTTTAAAAGGTGGATAGAGATGTATTTCCAACAACGTCCATATATTGATAAAAATGCCCCTCATCAATTTTAATGGGAAAATCTGTTATTGAATTAAGAACACTGAACAATTTGCATGTTGTTGTTTCTTCTACAACATAATTGCTTAAATTTCAGTAATTAAAAGGTTTTATTAAGGAGTTTCACAAAATTTGTTAAGAATCTGCCTCAAGTTTTTGTTTCTTTCTTATTATTTTATCAAAATTAAACATAAAAACTATAACTTTTATATTGATATTTGGGAAGAAAATTCTGTAGAAAAATCCAACTCTAACCCCTTCTTATTTTTTTAGAATATGATTTCTTATTCAAAAAATAAAAGTCAAATTGGAATTGTTGAAATAGGTACAGAAAAGATTCCAAGCCTGAAATCCCTTAAATGCAGGGAAATTATTTGTATATATAATAGGATTTTTAGGAATAAAATAATCACCGCAATTTCTGGGCTTCATCATTGAGCAATCAAGTAGGTCTCTAGTGGCAGAAATGTTGTTGTCTGACAAAATTTTCAGAAATAGAATTTTTTTACGAGTTTGGATCCTTTGAAAGCAAAAACATTAACGCTATATTTGGTTTGAAGGAAAAAGTGGGAAAAGAAGAGAAAGACAGGAAAATTAATACAAGGTTTGTAAAAATTTTCTTATCATTTCCTTCTTTCTCTTATATTTTACTTCAAACCAAACATAGTCTAAGAGAACGGTTTCTCATTATCACGTCTTGTATAGCACCTTTTGGTTATACTTTTAAAATATTAGCAGAGTATTTGCTTTGAAAAGATCCCATCTTCCTTTTTAATATCCACTTTCAGCTGTTACTAAGAATCACCAAGTCTAGTTGGGACCATTTTAAGTGAAGTTTAGTTGATTATCATCATCATGGAAATTTTAATTTCCTTTATCTAATTGTAATTGCATTGCAGCTATTTTTGTTTTACTCTATAAATGGTTTTTTTTTAAATTCATTTCTGAAAAACCATCCCCTAACTTTGGTTTCTATTCAACCAAATAGGGGAAATTAAAGAAATATGGAAATGTAAATCTTTCTAACACTAGGCTACAATTATAAATGGCTGACAAGAAATCAATTACTGGGATTAAAGAATGCATCAGACCATTGGACAACAAGAGCAGGTACAACTACCTACTTGTTGGGTCTTCCAAAGGCAGTCTTAATAACAGGACTAAAGTAATAAATACTTGCTTGGTGGTTTCTGGTTTCACTGATTTGTCTTTTTTTTTTTTTTCAATAGGACCCACAAATCGAATGGTCAGTTTGATAAAGTTAAGCCCACATTGTGTGGAATTAATTATAACTGATTTTGTCTTTTTATCTTTTTTGGTGGGATGCGGGGGAGGGGGTAGATTTTGAAAAAACAGGCGTCGTTTCAGTTTTTCTGAAAATAAATCTTTTTTAAATTGAAAACTTAGAAATAGAAAAAAAAAATGGAAGAATAAATCGTTTTTTTTTTCTGTTTTAGGTGGTGTTTGGTTTCATTATCATTGTCTATGAAAACGGCGTCACATTAGAGCCTCATCAGATTTTTTTAGAAAATGGAAGAAAATGTATTGGTATATACTGTTTATTTAGCCATTTTCTCAAAAAAAATGAAAAAGAATTTTTCCGTTTCTCAAAAATAACCATCTCAGAAAACATAATTTGTCACCTTATTTTTCTTTTCAAAATGTTTTCAAGTATAATGGCAGACGGCTTTGGCATGGCACCATTTTCTTAGAAAACAGCAATGGAACTAGCGTGTTAATTGGACAGGATTTGGTCCAATCCGATCCAGTCCAATGTGAATCCATTATAAATGGATTAGGTCCAATCCAATCCAATGAATGTTTTGAACCAATTTGGGCCAGTCCAATTCAATGTTTAGACTGTCCAATCTATTCAAATTCATTTTGATTTAGATTGGTTTCAATCCAAACTTGGTCTATTGACACATATATTCTTATCTTATATCAACGGATCAGATATTAGCTTAATCCAACCTAATCCAATATAAATTTATTACGGACAGATCAGGTCCAATCCAATCTAATAAATATTTTGGATCAGATTGGTCTAATCTAATATGTCTTATCGGTCCATCCAATTCGTCCAAATTGATTTGAGACTGGACAGGGTCCAATCTAAAACCGGTCCATTGACACCCTTAAATGGAACCAAACAAACTATGCATTGCCATCTCCTAATAAAACGGCACACCATAGCGCTGCCACTTTCGAAAAAACACAATCACCTTAATAAACAAATTCTATTAAAAATGAAAAATAACCCCCTAATAAAAAAACACCCGAAAGTGTCCTTCTAGATTCTCTAACTTTGAAACACATAAATTAGTCATTGGAACTACAACCCCAACTTCATCGCTCCCACCAATAAATAATTAAATAAAATAAATATGAAATTCATTATATATTTCCTCCAATACCCTACCAACTGATCACATGATACACATTGACCGCAAGTAAGGCTGGTTTGCATTGAGCCACTGACCCTACTGGCTTACCCAACCCGACTTACACTAAATTCAGAATTATTTAAACCTGACCAAGGCCGACCCACAACAGACTTGACTCGGCCAAACCCGTTACAAAGGGCCGGTTGCCATGAAGTTTCTTCCA